GTCAGGACCACTTCGCCTACAGGAGCAGCCCAGGCTGTTTGCTGACCTCTCCCCTCTCCTGACCTAGAGTAGGATTCTAAGGCAATTACAAGTCTTCCCAACAGCAGAAGTTTTAAGAGCAGAGTCCTGGATGAATAAGACACCGATAGGACTTGTTGAGCGGCCAAAGCAGCAGCCTTTGGCTATAAGAAATACCTATGTATTCCCCCCAAAAGATGGCCGGGTTTGGGGGCTCTCAAAAGATAAAAGGGCAAATGTTACACAGCCCCATCCCACAGTTTTCATTCCAGTAGAAGGGAGCGAATGCCCAACTTGTATGGGACACTGGGAAAAGGGAAGGGGCACCTGTCGTCATTAATGAGGAGCAAGGGTCAGCTGGCTTTTACACTGAGTATGTGGCTAGTCTTTCATTTCTAATGAGACAAAGGAGATGGAGAGAAAAGAGAAGGAAATACAGATAAGCAAAGAAGAGAGAGGGGACTAGGAAAAGCTAGAAACAGGCTCACGAACCACGGCAAGGTGAAAGGATAAATCTGAGAGCTCACACACAGCCAGCAAGAGCCTCAGTGGGCGACAGCCCTGGGTCACACCCTCTCTGCTGGCTTCTGAGGATGCCCTGCAGTGTGTGGCCCTGTTGGCCTCAGGGAGAAGGCTAGTTCCTGTATCTTGGTACTTGATATGGCTCTTGATCCAGAGGAGACACCACAAAGTACTTGTTGGGTGCACAGGTGATTGGATAGATGGATGACAGACAGACACAGTGACAAAGGAGGAACACACATCCAGGGAGGAGCAAACTGGCAGTGGATAGCTGGCCTCCCCCATCAAACCCGACCTGGAGAGGGATGAAGACAGGAAGACAAACTCTGGATCATTAGTCTCTAAGACCTGAAAATGAACCCCCAAATGATCCTGCCTAAAGCTCAGATTCCCTGATCTGACTCAGGAGTCCCTCCTGCCATCAGCTTAGCCTCGGTTTCAGCCATTTCTGGCCCCATACATTACAGCTGCTAAAATATTCCCCTACCTGCCCCTCTGTATCCAACCAGCCAGCTCATTCCTCTAGACCTGGCCTTGTTACTGCTGAGTCCAGGAGGCCTCCTGGACACTGTGACTATCTGTCTCCCTGACCACAAGGTACTGCTCCACCCTTCCACCACTGTGGATAACAGGATCTGTTCATACCTCCATCTTCCCTAACCAAGCTGGAAGCCCCATGGAATCAGGAGCCAAGTCACAGTGCCGGGGCTCATTAAATCTGGAAACGTGACAGATGGAACTGTGTGAGAAGACAACTCCAGAAGCTGTGGGTGAGCAGGATCCCCAGAACAAGGCCCTGATCTTAGTCCCTCGCAGCTGCTTCTGGCTCTTCTGACTCCATTACCTGAGTTCCCAAGGCTCTGGAGTGAGGTAGAAAGGCCCACACCCACCTTCCCATCAGTGAGCCAGCTGACAGGTTTGAGTGAATATAATGTCACAGACAAACTCACAGGCCACCAAAGCCATTCACCAGCCAGTGCCAAAGCCTAACTGAAAAGACAGTGAGCCCAACCTGCTCCCCAGGTAAGGTGACTGGAAGGAATCTCCCTCCCTCCCTCCCTCCCTCCCTTTCTCCTTCCCTCCCTCTCTCTTTCCCTCCATCCCTCCCAGGCCAAGAGTAGAACACATCACACCTTGCTGGAGGAAGAAATTGTTCAGCAAGCCACAAGGGCATCTGTGTGGTGATCACAGCCTGGAATCAGAATATCAGAATGCTATCCCTCCAAACTCAGCTGCTTCAGTGGGGGGAGGGGTGGATCTCCTCCAAGTTCAGCTGCTCCAGGGGTGCTTCTCACCACCTTTACTTTGCTGTTGTTTATATTTTATTGTGATGTTAGGTGGGACCCAGATCCTCACACATGCTAGCCAACTGTTCTACACTGAGCCACATACCCAGCCCTCTCACTACCTTTTAAAGACCCTGTGTCCACATCGCGGAGAGAATGTAGAATCAAGACAGCAGTGGTTCCATGAGCCCACAGGGACCCGGGCAAGCACCAAGACATCAGTCTCCTACAACCCACCCTACAACCCCACCCAAGACCAGAGTGCTAGCCCCAGGCCATAACCCCTCATGATGCAGAATCACAGACAATCCAGTGGTACCGTGTAACCCCCAGGCCAAGGGCTGATGGCAGTGAACTGCTGCACTAGGGTTACTGCTCAGAGAAGCAGTTTCCAACATGGTTCACTGACAGCCTAGCAGGTCACAGTGGGCAAAGCTTGTTACTAACAACAATGGGAGTGTCAACCACATCAGCAGATTCACACCTGTGAAATGTAAGTCTCTGTCAGAGCTGACTTTCCTCATCCACTCCCATTCAGCCATGCTTTCTGAAAGGGAGAAATAAGACATTGCATCTGGGAAGGCCACACAGCCTCCACGGGCTACCCCTCCTCTATGCCACCAATCAACACAGTAGTGGCCTATCACCATGTTGTAGGGCAAGAGGCCATTTACTTCTCTCTACAGTACTGAGAAGGCCATAAAATTCAGATGGGGGTCACCCTGGTGAGAATCACCCATCCTGTCCTAACAGAGGATATTGGGTCCTTTTGCCTAAAGAGCTCAAGCAGTGTCCCCAGAAATGACAGGATGGAGTTCCCCATCTTTTAGGGGCCTTGCAGGACTAGACAGCTGGACAGAAGTCTCCTCCAGCCTCCAGGTCCTTTCCCATCTATGCCTGATAGACACCCTATGCCTCTTAGGATGAGGCCTGGAGACAACCCGATAGCAAGCATATCTTCCTCCGCAAAGCTGGCACAGCCACATGCGCCCGTGACAGAGAGTGTAGCACATTGTGTCCTCTGAAGTCACCAACCACGGAGGCGAGGGCTCTGCAACAGGGCCAACCCTAGACTGGAACCCCATTCTGTCTCTTAGTAACGATGACTTCACACAAGTCGCTTGACATTCGTTAAAATCACAGCTGTAATGAGCTGATGTGGGAATGAACACAAAGGGCCAGGCCTGCCTCGGGCATCAGGAAGGTTGGCCAGGCCTGCCTCGGGCATCAGGAAAGGTTGGCTTCCTCTGTTTCCTGTGGCATGGCAGGGACCAGAGACTAGGGCTTTATAGGAGCTGAAAGGAAAGGCAGAGGTGGAATGTCCTCTAATCAAAATTCAGAGTTTGTCCTCACACTCGGTCTCCTGCCACCTCTCCAGTCAGAGTTGCTTGACAAAGGAAGGAGCCGCTCCAGTTGTATCCACGCCCCCAAACACCCAGAGACACAAGATTTTGTGAACACAGTCTGAAGGATTAGAAAAGGCAACCAGCTAAAGCCAAGCAAAGTGCACCCCGCACCACAGGAGTTTGCATAATTAATCACTTGGAAATAACATATTTAGGCCAGTTGTGGTTGTGTGTAAATCCTTCAGGGGCCCAGAAACAAGAAAGACCTAGATACGTGTAGACGGAAAATACATGTGTATACACTGCCAAAAGGGGTGCGTGCTAAGAAGCTTGGTGCCGAATGTTTATCATTGCCGCCGCCTCCTCCTTCACCACACCTTAGCAGACGGAGAAACTGAGACCACAAAGATCAAGCCAATGGATCGACATCACACAGACGGGAACTGGAGCAGAGACTGGACCAGAATCCGTGTAACTCCAAGGCCCATTTTCTTTCCCCTCCCAAGCTTCCCAGCAGATCAATGGCAGAGAGGGAAGAAAACAAACAAGAAAGCCAAAGAATTAGCACCAAGCGAGGAGCTGAGAGGCTGGTGACAGGATCCGTGGACACTCTCCCCAGACAGACGAGTCCGAGTCCGGCGATAAACAGAGAGAAAAGCCGCCCCAGGAGGGGCCTCTGCAAATATAGCACTGGGAACATTCTGAGAAAGGCTGGACATGTCAGTACTGCTAATCCAAAGCTGAATCACAGCATGCAGGGAGGAGTACTCTGGTGAGGAGAACCCACAGGGCGGCACAGCCTGGCTGACCACCAGCACGATCAGGGCCTGATTAGTGGAGAGCGGCAGGGCTGCTGGCCAATGACACCAAATTAAACGTTCCCAGTGTTACGCTCTCCAGCAGTGGGCTTCGTGCTGGTTCCTGATGCATGAGGTGGCATTTTGAATGATAATTAATTAGAGGGAAAAGCGGAATAAGCAAGCACAGTACATCAGATGAAATTAGTATAATTCTGCCTTTCTCTTTCATTTTACCTTCAATCGGAGTAGGCTGGCAAGGTGGCTTGGGTTATGAGGGAAACCCCAGGGAGCATCCACTGCTCCATACATCTATGATCCACTGGGCCCTCACTTGTTCTGACAGACCACACCCCTAGCCACCTCTTCTCCCCAAACCGACTCAGGCCCGGGAAGCGGACAGCAACTACCTGTGTATCACCTCTGTGCCATGAGACCACCAGAGCCAGCACCAGTCAGCTCTTCTAGTCCAGTTTTCTAGTCTGATCTCAAATGCATGGATTCTTTGTTAAACTGGCGGCCCTCCCTCATCCTCCTTTGGAAGTCCTGATCCCTAATAGGGGTGTTTTTAAAAGGAACACACACTGATCAGTACAAGCACCAAAGAAAGACGTTCGCTCAGTCCAGGTATCACTTGATATGCAATGGACACCTCCACCAAATGTCAACAAATCCCATGACAAACCTGCCCACTTCTCCAGAGAACTAGAAAGTCACTTTATCCCTAGAGGTGTGTGCCCTGCTAACGAAGAAAAGAAAATGCAAAGGAAAAACATCCAAGTTTCAACTCGGAAAATTCGGGCAGTAACTTATAAGCAGGCTTCCCACCAGCCCCATAGCCTCTTGGGAGTCAGAACATGGGTCACCTGTTGGGGACCAATCAGTAGCCAAGTCATATGGAGGCCTTTCCCCATACGGTCAGGTGCTGCAGACTGAGCGCTCGTGTGTTCCCTGTTCTTTCTGTTATACACCGGAGCCATTCAGTGGCCCCTGGGCATCAGGCATGCGTGGCCTCAGCCCCCATGACCTACCTCATTGATGAAGGAGTGGGCTCCTTGTGGGCTAAGCAGTAGGATGGCACGGCGCAGCGTGTCCCGGTAGCGGTTCAGCTCCTCTGTCTTCATGGTGGTGAAGAGACTGGTGAACACGTGACTGATATTCTTGTCCACCTTTTGTAAAGAGACGTCAAGGCCCAGCCGAGAGGCCTGGTCCAGAAAGCTTTGCAGCCCACGGATATCTGAGCATGGAAAAAGAAGAGGGAAGAATCATCTTTGAGTGGGAAGGGATCTATCTGGAAGGGCAACTAACCCCAACATTCCTGACCCAGGCAGCCACCAGAAACAAAGTTTCCTTCCAGGCTACTCTACTCACTCAGAGCAGGCTGCAAGGCAGCAACCTAGACCCAACATCCTCATCAGCATCCAGCCCCAGAGTATTTGGTGGTTGTTTTCCCGCATCGGGAATCCTTTCTGCCATCCAAAGTTACTATGCCAGAATCCATCCTTTGTAATTCTTCTCTTCTCTTCTGTGTGGTCTCAGTTCTGGAGGTTCCGTCCTCCAGGCTACATGGGCTGGTGGTGACCCTGCTCCAGGTTTCCCCCATCTCCCTCTGTGCCTCACTTCTGAGGCTTCTTGACCCTCTACAGTTAGATAAGACTACTGACTACCCTGAAGAGAGCTGCCCCAGCTTTGGGAGGTCATGTGCTAATCCTCCAAATGTCAGCATCTCATGTGATGACCCCTAACCAATGCAACAGGCCTTGTCTCGCTTCAGGATCTGATTTTTCCTCCTGGAACTTCCTTCTTCCTGCTTTATACCAAGAGGTGACTCATCCCAAATCCAATCAGAAGCTCATGTTTCCACTGATTCAGAGATGAACAGATAGCCAAGGTCCTTCTCTGAGACTTTCCCCAGCACTAGGAAGGAACATCTACAAGATAAGCCAACTGAACCAATTACCTGACAGTGGCGGTCCACAGCAGATCCTGGAGCCCAAAAAGACGGCACACTCTCACTGACCTAGCCTTGTGAGGGACCAGGTGCTGCTTTGTTGTTAAGTACAACTCTAACGAACTTCCAGCAACAGCTCTTCACAAGCCATCCGACTTCCCCCAAGGGACACCTACCCAAGAACGGAACCAATGCAGAGGCAAGCAGATACAAGCTGGTGACAGCTGTTTTGATGCTATTCAAGCCTTGAGGTCCATCTGTGTCTGAGTCTGTCTCCCGGACTTCCCACTGGACTTCCCAAGGGTCCCCCTTTGCTGCCTGACCCACCTCATGTTTCATTTCTGTCACTGGTAGCCTAATTTGTCAACACATAGGAAAACCATTTGTGCTCACCCTTGAATGTTTCCATTACCTACCTGTACTGGCTGGTTTTGTGTCAACTTGACACAAGTTAGAGTCATCAGAGAGGAAGGAGCCTCCGTTGAGGAAATGCCTCCATGAGATCCAGCTGTAAGGCATTTTCTCAATTAGTGATCAATGAAGGAGGGCCAAGCCCATTATGGGTGGTGCCATCCCTAGGCTGGTGGTCCTGGGTTCTATTAGAAAGCAAGACTGAGTTGCCGGGCGGTGGTGGTGCACGCCTTTAATCCCAGCACTCGGGAGGCAGAGCCAGGCGGATCTCTGTGAGTTAGAGGCCAGCCTGGGCTACCAAGTGAGTCCCAGGAAAGGTGCAAAGCTACACAGAGAAACCCTGTCTCGAAAAACCAAAAAAAAAAAAAAAAAGAAAGCAAGACTGAGCAAGCCATGGAAAGTAAGCCAATTAGCAGCTCCCCTCTATGGCCTCTGCATCAGCTCCTGACTCCAGGGTCCTGCCCTCTTTGAGTTCCTGCCCTGAGTTCCTTCAGTGATTAACAGCAATGATAAAGTGTCAGTCAAATAAACCCTTTCCTTCTCAACTTGCTTTTTGGTCATGATGTTTCATCACAGCAATAGAAACCCTAGTTAAGACACGACCTTATCCTTGCCTTCCTGATCCCAAGGGCAGACCCTCCAGAGGATACTGAGTACCTCCTCTAGTCCCACAAGGCCACTGTCCCCATGCCCTGGGGTCACAAAATTGGAAATCACAATATATAAACAAAAGACAGAGAAAATAAAAAGTAAAAAAGTACAAAATGCCTAGGAGAAGTATTATGAGACAAAAAGAAAAAGAAAGAAAGAACCTCCAAAACTACCATTGAATTCATTTTGTGTTGGCCATCCACTGCTGGGCATGGGGCCTGGCCTTAAGAGTGGTTTTGTATACCCAATGAGACTCCATTGGAAAAAATCTAATTTTTCACTTACAAGTGAGCATCAATTGGAAAAAGCTTCTGAGTTAGGGATGGGGGCTTGTGTCAACTTCTCCTCTCAGTGCGGAGTATATCTGGCACCTGGTCCAGCTGTGGTCTCTATAGTTATTCCCATCTACTACAGAAGGAAGCATCTCTGATGATGGCTGAAGAAGACACTGATCTCTGAGTATGGCAGAATGTCATTAGGAGTCATTTTGTTGCTACCTATGTTCATTTTGCTGAACAGTACTATTTGGTTTTCCTCTAGGTCCTTGGCCTATCTAGTCCCATGTTCTTGGTCACCCAACCAGTGTTGGCGATGGGTTTATCCCATGGAGTGGGCCATAAATCCAATAGATATTGGTTGGTTAGTCCCATAAGCTTTGTGCCACTACTTCACTAACACATCATGCAAGCAGGTCACCATTATAAATCAGAGTTTGTAGCTGGGGTTGTGTCTTTGTTCTCCTTTGGTAGCATGTAAAGTACCTTCCAGTGCCATGAACACTAGTCAGCAGAGGTGAGGACTCTAGTTAGGCACCCACTCAACTTCTACATGTTCAATGAGTTTTATAGTGTTGTCTTTGGCAATAGGGCCTTACCATCAATTTACGGAGATCAACCAATTAGCCTTGGCAATAGCCTGTTTAAGCATTTGGTTTTGCAGTATTATGCACAATACCCAAGATGTGAAATCAACCTATGTATCCACCAATGGATGGATGGATAGATGGATGGATAGGTGGATGGATGGATGAAATGCAGGGTATAAATATAATGGAATACTATTCAGCCATAAAAAATAATGAAATCCTGTCAGTTGTGGAAGTATGGATAAACCTGGATGAATGTGTCAAGTGAAATCTTAATAATATTCTGCTATACTCATAGATTAGTGACTAGCCCAATTGTCATCAGAGAGGCATCAGATGCAGAAACCCATAGCCAAACACTAGGTGGAGAAAGGGAAACCCTGCAGAAGAGGGAGAGGAAGGATTGTAGGAGCCATAGAGGTTGAGGACACCACAAGAAGACGGCCGATACAATCAACTAAGCAGGGCTCATAGGGGCTCACAGAGACTGAAGTGACAACCGTGGACCCTGTATGGGTCTGAGCTTGGTCCTCTGCACATGCATTACGATTGTGTAGCTTGGGGTTCTTGTGGGACTCCTAACAGCAGGAGTGGAGCTGTCTCTGACTCTTTTACCTGCACTTGGGACCCTTTTCTTCCTACTGGGTTGCCTTGTCCAGCCTTGATATGAAAGCTTGTGCCTAGTCTTAGTGCAATTTGTTATGCTGTGTTTGGTTGATATTCCTGGGGTGGGCCTGCTCTTTTTTTTTCTTGAAAGGGAAACAAAGGAGTTGAACTGGGGGAGAGGGGAGGTAGGGATGGACTGGGTGGAGTGTAGGGAGGGGAGGCTGTGGTTGAGATGCAAAATATGAGAGGAGAATAAAAGAAAGGAAAGAAGGGAGGGAGGGATGGAGAGAGAGGAAGGAAGAAAGGGGGAGGGAGGGAAGAGGGAGGGAAGGAAGGTAAGACAAACACAGGTAGCATACTTCTGCTTCTTAACCCTAACAGAAATAGTGGACATTTTGCAGAAATACAGGAGTCTGGAGAGGTGATCAACTACCAGAAACAGTCCAGGTGTTAACCCTCTCCTGAATGTAGCATTGCCCATCATAACCCAGAGAACGTCTCAGCACCCAGCAGCCAATGTAGTATATACAATGTCCCTAAGTGGAGTAGACAGCTGCCTTTGGGCCCCTGGGAATGGTCTTTCTAGTCCCATGCCATTTCCTCATCACTTTGAATTTCCCCCTGTCTTTGTTTCTGGCCTTGGCCATACAGGCAGCTTTGACCTATAGGACAGAAGTAAATGCAACATAAACAGTGCTGTGAGAGGTTGTTTCCATTTCTACCCTTGGGTTTGGCTATTACTATATTAACACCCTCAGGGTAGCCTGCTGACAAGATGCTGTGACCTGCAGAGAAGAATTAGGATGACCCCCAAGCAACCACTACAGTCACATGCTGGCAGAACCCAGCCGCGAGAGAGGACACAGCAGAGCAATCAGGTTGAACTATAGACTCATCAAAAATAACAAATGATTCTTGTTCTAGCCACTAAATTTGGGGATGGCTTGATTGGCAGCAGTGACTAACTGAAAGGTCGTTGGATGGATGCTCTCTGTTGTTCCTCATGAAGATGTAAAGAAAAGAGTAAGGCCCGCACCTTCAAAAGATCATCCATGGCACTGTTCACAGGGGATGCAAGCCAGACTCAAACAAGGCTGTGTGTCCTCGGGCAGCTTTTCCAGGACTCCAACAATCCTCGGTGTCCCATGCCCTTCCCTATGACCCAGATATAATCACAACTGACAAGCATCAAAGACCCTGGGACCCTGCTACCATCTCCTGCTCCACTCGGCACATTTTAAGAGAATAGTGAATTGGTAAAGTGGCAGAGAGTGACCACACCCACAGAATGTTTCTGCAAGTTTACATGGCATGCCTACCATTAAGGCACAAATGGCTTATAGGTCTGGTAGGACCACTGTGTGACATGAATGACCCCATGAATCATGCCAGCACAACCTGCAATCTCAGCCTGGGAAAGAAGTCCCCTACAGTCCCTTTTCCAAGTCCCCGTCTCACTCCATAGCACTGTTTCATGTCCTTATGGAGCAGAAGATATGTAAATGGGTGGTACGTGTCAGGACCCACAGATTCAGGCAAGAACACGTAGGTGTGGAGAACAAAGCCCCCCAGAACTCTTGCATGCCCTTGACACCGCCTTTCTGGCTTCTGTTCAGGCATCTCCCAGTGAGACTGAGCCATCAGGGAGAGTTTAAGTTCGTTAGCAGCAGCAGGCTCTTCACTCCTGGCATTAGTGATGCTGCTGAAGGCAGTTTTCCCGAGAGACATCATCCCCAGCTGTAACAGCAGCTCC